TAATTTAAGGATGTGCTTAAGATGAAATCAGAAATAACTAAGAGTCGCGCCATGTTGTCTACTGAATGTTCCTCCTTGGACAACACTGCCTCTGGACAAATAAACACAGCTGTAGATACCTGGAGAATGCCCGAGTTTTGTTCTGAGTGACTCAAATGGGGCTCCAACATGAAGCTGAGATTTTGAACCATCCTCAAAGAGGATGACATAGCTTGGTTTTTCCTCTTTGGAGATGGCACCAGGAGAGAAAAAGGGGACAATAATTCAAAGAGCCAAGAGGTATCTTCATTTGAATTTCAACGAAATTTCTTATTTGATCTTTAGTTGCTACTTCTTTTAATTAATCTAAACATCACATTCTTTTTATTAAAAAAAATTGTTTATTGAGCACTTTCTTTGACCAGGCATTTTCTTATGCCCTGTAGATTGCATTATTTTATATTACCCAAAAGAAAAAGAAGCCCAAAGAAGCAGAAGCTTCAGACCTAAGGCACACAAGACAGTAAAGTCAAAATCTGGATTATTTGGGTGAAGAAAGTTGAGAAAGAAACCTATGTGAATATAGGACAGAATTCTCTCTTTAGGATATGAGAACTTTTTCCCAGAATTAGGGTTTAGTTTGAATTCCTTAAAGCTTTCTTCACTTTTAGTATAATTGAGATTGCCTATTCCTAATTAATTAAATGTCACAATTCCAATATTTTTATGAATAATTATGTTAGCTGTCTTCTGTTTTACTCTAATCACCATGCCATTTTATATCTTTATCAATGACTATCTTAAAATGTTGAACCATGGGCTTTACACAATTCCATAAAAATTTTGGTAAGAAATAATATATTTTAATATTCAAATTAGTTCTTTATGACAAAATATTTCCTAAATAATTTTCCCTTAACGTAATTATTTTATTTTCATTATATCGAGTACAGAAATGTTTGGGGTTGCTTTCTGGCCTTTTTTTTTTTTAAATTTATTATGTTATGTTAGTCACCATACAATACATCATTGGTTTTTGATGTGGTGATCCACGATCCATTGTTTTCGTGTAACACCCAGTGCTCCATGCAGTACGTGCCCTCCTTAATACCCATCACTGGGCTAACCAATCCCTCCTCCCCCCTCCCCTCTCTAAAACCCTGTTTGTTTCTCAGAGTCCATAGTCTCTCATGGTTCATCTCTCCCTCCAATTCCCACCCCCCCATTTTTCCCTTCCTTCTCCTAATGTCCTCCATGTTATTCCTTATGTTCCACAAATAAGTGAAACCATATGAGCTTTCTGGCCTTCTGATTATGCCTGCTGTTAGCTGGCAGCAATAAAGAAACACGCTTTGTCAAATTATTTAATAATTCTCCAATATACCCAGATTTGAAAATGTATAGCCTTTGGAATATTTGCAAACCATGCAGGGGCTTTATTGAAAAACTGTACCATTTTAATTTTTTTGTTTTTTAATTAAAATATAAGACATTATAGATGATGTGAGAAATATAGAGAAAATCTATCTAAAATTTTAACACTTCATGTGTGAATTATATGCATAAGTCTATAGGTCTTCACATAATTTTAGTAATAGAATACTTAATCATGTATATTGATTTTTTTTAACTTAACATATTATCAGAAACATTTTGATATAAAAAAAGATGCACTCATATCTCACATGGCAGGTCTGTAATTTTGGAGGCAAACTGTTTCTTATCCCAATGTGTTATTTGCCTGGTTACTCAGATGATTGGACCATGGGCCAAAACTGATGAAGGTTATAGTTTCAATTTCTAGGTGGGTCAGTTAGCTTTACTCTGTTTCATGGCCACATGAAGAGACTAAATGACTTAGAAAGAAAATATGGACATATTAGCATGAATTCAGCCCCTCTGCTGGAAAAAGTATCCATAGTACAAGACCTAGGTTTGTGCCAATCCCGAAGTCATTAGTGTCAGGATGGAAAAAAACAAAAAAACAAGAAAAGGAAAACCCTGACCCTCTAAACACAAAAACTGAATGCTATATAGCTTTCATTTCCATAATATAACATAATGACCTGCCTCTTCTTTTAATAGTTACAGTTGAGGGGCTCCAGCTGATCACCTGCCTGAAATTATTGCCAGCCTGGTGGGAAGCATTTGAGGAGGCAAAGTCATGTTTTCATTTCACTAGGAAATCATTTAGCAAATTGCTGCTATTCTGTAAATTACTGTGCTGCATAACTTTCATACTGAGAAACTATTTCCTTTTTCCATAAAAACTGCAGATAAAGGGTTCCTATAATAAATAATCTGTATTTAAAACAAACCAATTCTGAGAATTTAGAGAAGGTGACATAGCATTTCTCAGGCAAAAATAAAAACAAATACATTTTACTACCAATATTTAAAAATGACATATTCTCTGTTAGCATCAGATTTTCATTCATTGTTTGTTTACTTTGTTACCCTTTGAGGGGAATGGATAGAGGCTTCCGAAGACGAAATAACAAGCTAAGTACTTATTTTTTGAAAGAAAAAGAACTAATTTTGGAAATCAGAGTTCTTTAAGCCCAAGTCTTATATCTTGAAGAGAGTCCCACAATCAGTAATCAGCCTAAATAGAACACAGTATTGGAGCAATTTTTATTATGCTAAGTCCTGTTTAAAATGTCGGTCTGAAGAGCAATAACTAAGTTCTTTTAATTTTGTGTTGAGGTGATAGGCCCAAATATAATCTGGGGAAATATGGCCTAGGATCACACTCCAAATATGGTGAATCACTGCTGAAGTAGCAGGAAGCATTACAAAAGGACTAATTTTTCTGGCCTTTTCCAGAAACACTTGGATAATGAAACACAGAGCTGACTGACTGATATTCACAAACACTAGTGAATATTAAGAAGATTCTCCCTAGACTTCACGGTTGCTAAGACTTATAAAGAGAAAATGCTTCATGGTGGCTAAAATTTTTAAACAGTCACATTCGATGCATATTAAAATTAAAGCTCCTGATACCTAGAACTAGTTTTAATAACATTACTGGCCTTAAATATCTGATACTTGAGTCCACAGTTTAAAAAAGTTGTGGCAAACATGGAGAAAATTCAGAAGAATGGCATAAACATGGTTTTATTGTTGCAAATTAAAGCTCTGAGGAAAAGGTTAAAAGAACTGTTATGGTTCATTTTGAAGATGAGTAGACTAAAATGATCTTTATCATTTTTTCCCAACTTTTCTCAACCTGTATTCCTCGTCTAAACCACAGAATACAAAAACTAATGTGACTCTTTTCTCAATTCTTCTGTGGATGGTACATAAATGAGTACCATTCTAGATACATTGAGAAGTGAATTCATTACATACAAGGATGCCTTAGGGCACCACGGCTCAATTCTCTCTCGTAAAGGATGTTGATAAACATTTGGATGCACAGTAGAACATAATGTTGGCAAGATATCTGAAGCCTAGAAAATGCATTTAAAAAAGCAGGGTATCTTGGGCGCCTGGGTGGCTCAGTTGGTTAAGCGACTGCCTTCGGCTCAGGTCATGATCCTGGAGTCCCGGGATCAAGTCCTGCGTCGGGCTCCCTGCTCGGCAGGGAGTCTGCCTCTCTCTCTGACCCTCCCCCCTCTCATGCTCTCTATCTCATTCTCTCTCTCAAATAAATAAATAAAATCTTTAAAAAA